AGAGAAAAGGCAGGATGGAGGAGGAGGAGGGGGGAGGAGGAGGGGGAACATGTAGAAGGAGTAGTAGAAGTAGTAGTAGTAGTAGTAGTAGTAGTAGTAGTAGTAGTAGTAGTAGTAGTAGTAGTAGTAGTAGTAGTAGTAGTAGTAGTAGTAGTAGTAGTAGTAGTAGTAGTAGTAGTAGTAGTAGTAGTAGTAGTAGTAGTAGTAGTAGTAGTAGTAGTAGTAGTAGTAGTAGTAGTAGTAGTAGTAGTAGTAGTAGTAGTAGTAGTAGTGGTAGTAGTAGTAGTAGTAGTAGTGGTGGTGGTGGTGGTAGTAGTGGTAGTAGTGATAGTAGGGTAGTAGTGGTACTAGTAGTAGTAGTCTTAGTAGCGTAGCCTTAGTAGTAGGTAGCCGTAGATTCGTTTAGTCGTAAGTAGTCGTAGTAGTTAGTAGTAAGGAGTAGTTAGTAGTGTAGTAGTAGTAGTAGTAGTAGTAGAGTAGTCGTAGTAGTAGTAGTAGTAGTAGTAGTAGTAGTAGTAGTTAGTAGTAGTAGTAGTGGTAGTAGTTAGTAGTAGTCAGTAGTAATATAGTAGTGTAGTAATAATAGTAGTTAGTAGTAGTGTAGTAGCAGTAGTCGTCGTAGTAGTCGTAGTAGTAGTAGTCGTTTCGTCGTAGGCCTGTAGTTTGTAGTCGTTTAGTCGTAGTAGTAGTAGTAGTAGTAGTAGTAGTAGTAGTAGTAGTAGTAGTAGGGTAGTAGTAGTAGTCGTAGTAGTAGTAGTAGTAGGAGTAGTAGTAGTAGTAGTACTAGTAGTAGTAGTAGTAGTAGTCGTTAGTAGTAGTAGCGCGTCAGTTTAGTAGTAGACCAGTAGTGTAGGTAGTAGTAGTAGAGAAGCTAGTAGTAGTAGGAGTAGTAGTCGTAGTCGTAGTTTCTAGGTCTTAGTGTTAGTAGGAGTGGTAGTAGTGGAGTCGTTGGTAGTAGTGGAAAAGTGGTTATGGTAGTAGTAGTAGTAGTTCGTAAGTTCAAGTACGAGTATGTAGTAGTAGTAGTAGTAGTAGTAGTAGTCGTAGTAGTAGCAGTAGTAGTAGTAGTAGTAGTAGTAGTAGTAGTAGTAGCTCTAGTAGTAGTAGTAGTAGTAATAGTAGTAGTAGTAGTAGTAGTGGTGGTAGTAGTAGTTGTAGTAGAAGTAGTAGTTCTAATAGTCGTAGTCGTAGTAGTAGTCGTAGTAGTAGTAGTAGTAGTAGTAGTCGTAGTAGTAGTAGTAGTAGTAGTAGTAGTGGTGGTAGTAGTAGTAGTAGTAATCGCCGTCGCCGTCGTAGTAGTAGTAGTAGTAGTAGTAGTAGTAGTAATCGTAGGGGTGGTGGTCGTAGTAGTAGTAGTAGTAGTCGTCGTCGTCGTCGTCGTCGTCGTCGTCGTCGTCGTCGTCGTCGTCGTCGTCGTCGTCGTCGTCGTCGTCGTCGTCGTCGTCGTCGTCGTCGTCGTCGTCGTCGTCGTCGTCCGTATAGTAAGTAGTAGTAGTAGTCGTAGTAGTAGTAGTAGTAGTAGTAGTAGTAGTAGTAGTAGTAGTAGTAGTAGTAGTAGTAGTAGTAGCGGTAGTGGTAGTGGTAGTGGTAGTAGTAGTAGGATATGGAGCAGGAGAAGGAGAAGAAGAAGGAGAAGGAGGAGGAGGAGGAGATGGATCAGGAGGAGGAAGAGGAGGAGGAGGGGGAGGAGGAGGAGGGGAAGTAGGAGGAGGAGGAGGAGGAGGAGGAGGGAGGAGGGGGGAGGGAGGAGGGGGGATAATCAGGAGTGGAAGAGCTGGGGCCAGAGGAGTTGCCGGGTCCAGCAGTGCGAAGTGGCGGGGGGTGCGCTGCGAGACTGGGGAAGCTCGGTGAGCGGGCTGGTCGTCTGCGGGTGCCCGCGATCGCGGTCGCAAGCCCCTGCGAGCACTTTGGCACTGCGGGGTGCCCGCTCAGATGCCAGGGGGGTCCACGGCAGAGGAGGCCCTTTCCGCCCCTCGGGGGGAGAGGCGGGGAGGCAGGGAGGGAGGGCGGTGCACGAACGCGAGTGGCGCGAGGGAGGGAGCCGCGCAGGGGGAGGGGCGCGGCAGAGGAGGGAGACGTCGCCGCGCCGTCTGTGCCGCCGCGCGGCCCTGCGTCTCGGGGAGGGCGCCGCGGCCACCGTTGGCCAGCGCGCCCTGGGCGCGGGGCCTGCCGTGGGGCGTGCCGCGGTGCCCGCCCCAGGGCGCGTCGAGGGCGAGCGGCGCGGCGGCAGGTGCAAGTCGGGCGTGTCCCTCTGCAGGAGGAATGTTCGATGATACCGGGGAGAACCCCGTGCACATAGTCTCTTTGGGGCCACAGGGCTATGGGGCTATAGGGCTATGGGAGTGTGGGGCCACGGGGCGATAGGGCCATAGGGCCATAGGGCCATTGGGCTATAGATATATGGGGCTGCTATATGGCTAAAGGGCTATAAGGCGATAGGGTTATAGGGCCATAGGGCTACATGACTATAGGGTTATATGGCTGTATGGCTATGGGGCTATAGGGCCACAGGGCCATAGGGATATAGGGCTGTAGTGTTATAGGGCTATTTGGCAATGGGGCTATATGGCTATGAGGCTATCGGGCTATAGGGCTACAGGGGGATGGGTCTATATGGCTATAGGGCTATCGGGCTATAGGGCTACAGGGCGATAGGGCGATAGGGCTATAGGGCTATAAGGCTATAAGGCTATAGGGCTAAGGGACTATAGGGCTATTGGGCTATAGTGCTATTGGGCTATAGGGCTAGGGAACTATAGAGCTATAGGGCTGTAGAGCGTGAGGGTTATTGGGCTATAGGGCTGTAGGGCTATGATGCTAGATGGCACCCGGGCACCCGGGCACCCGTGCGGGCCGCGGGAATCGGTGACAAACCTGCCCTAACCATATGAATCCGCTAGGCGCTGGGACCCCTACAGAGGCAAGTTTCGATTGGGGAGAATAATCGAAAATAGTCCGGGGACGATTCTTCGATCATGTTTAGCTACCTCTGCACATTTGTTTGATATGTTTTATTTTTCTCCCAAAATCCGCCTGTAGGAGGACATGCCCGACCAAACGACAGGTGAAGGAGGGATGGGTGCATGCGAAGTGCTGCAGGCCAAGCAGTGCGAGCGTACCTGGATGGGGGTGCCCCTCCCTTGCTTCTCGTCCTCGCCCCCGCGGGGAGTACACTGCTGCCACTGGCAGGGAGTGAGTGGAGTGGAAGCCCATGCCAAGAAACACCCTGCTTGCCTCCAGGGTGCCCTGGGTTTCTTGGGTTTCGATGGTTTTGTGATGGAGAGCGCGACGTTCCCACACCAAGAAAAGACGTCCTGGGGCCACAGGGTTGGGTTTCTTGTGGTCGGGCCCCTACTGCATGTTAGCTCCCTCCTGGCCGAAATAGTTACGCCCGACATGGGTACGGAGAAAATGGTCAGACTTCCCCTTCAGCATGCGATGTCCCAAGCCGTCAGCGGCCGCTGTCGGGCAGGCGACTTTTCTGTCTTCAATGGGCAACGTCCGCGGCGACGCCGACAGCGAGTCCTGACCAAAATGGGCAGGAGCTGCTGTTTGTCGTCGTCCCCACTCGATCGAAGAGGAACACTTTGCACAAACATGAACTTTGGAGCTTCGCGCGGATTCCTTGGATCGGCGCTGGCCCCCGCGCTTGCGTCGCCTCCTTGCGCCGCCGCCGCGCGCTAGGAAGGGCCTCCCGCGCTGATCCAAGAAGGCCTCGTGGAGCTCTGGAAGTTTATGCTCATGCAGTTTTCTATTATTATGCTTTTCCTGTACAGCGGGGTCGCGTACCAGCAAACCAGACGAGCGACGCCAAAAAAACGGGGTCGTGTTCGCCGTCATTGGCGCGTAAGTTGCCCGCGTAAGGTCGCGCGTAAGCGCCTTCGTCTCTATTGTGGCGTGCCGCGTCCGCGGCCCGCTTAAGCCGCCGCATCAGATCGCCGCGTCGTCTCGTGTAAGAGCTATTTTTGATTGTCGGTCATGTGGTTTTCGTCACGGTGCCCTGGGTTTCGTCATTCCCAGCGCTGCGCGGTGACTTTCCCCGATCGTAGAGAAAGTGCTGCGCCCAGAGTACCCTGGGTTATTCTCCCCCAGTCGCACCTCGCGCATTTTTCCTGTCCACGCCCTGAGAAGGAACTTCCTCGGGCCAGGGTGCCTGGATGTCTCCGAATAGGAAGGAGCCCTTGGCTGAGACACCCAGACCCTGGGCAGGACACTTTTTGGATTTTCAGGGCTGGGTTTGCTGCCGGGGGCTTTCTGGCGGCAGGCGTCCCCACGGTACCCGCTTCGACCGCGCGTGGCGAACCGGCAGCTAATGCTGATGCAGGTTTCTCCTCCCTCCTTCTCCTCCTCCCTTCCTCCTCCTCCTCCTCCTCCTCCCTCCTCCCTCCTCCTCCTCCTCGTCCTCCTCTCCCCTCCTCCCCTCCTCCCCCTCCTCCTCCTCCTCCTCCTCCTCCTCCTCCATCTCCCCCTCCTCCGACGACGACAGGAATTCCAGGGCCCCCCCCCACTGAGCGGCCGCCGAGCTTCCTGAAACTGCTTCTGGGCTGCCTGGGGAAGCGTGCTTGGAGGTACCTTCGGGCTGCTCAGGAAGCGTGCTTTTGGAGGTACCTCCGGGCTGCCCAGGGGAGCGTTTTTTCAGGTACCGTCGGGCTGCCCAGGGGAGCGTACTGAGGTATCCTCCCGGACGTGCGACGTCCTGATTTTTTGAGGGCGGCGTCCCTGGAAGTCGCGACCCTTTCCCCGGGATCGGTTTTTCGCCCTGAGTCGTTTCCTGACGGTCCCGAGGCCCTTCGAGGGCCCCCCCCCGGGCCTGAGGATAAGCCCAGACCGCCCGTTCTGATTTTTTCTTTCGACGCGATCATGTCTGGGTTCGGGTTGCCCAGGTGCCCGGTCCGGCCGCGCCCCTCCGCCCGGGAGCACCCCGCTGCCCCCCCGGGGGGGGGGCATGCGAGGCCAGCCCCCCGACGCCCCCCCCCACGCCTGCGGCCCCCGTGCGCCAGGCGGGCGGGCTGCACGGCGCGTTCGGCAACGACCGCGAGGCCTTGCTTGACGTCGGGCCTGTGATCTCTACAGGGGGAACACTTACAAAAATCGTCAAAAATGACTCTGGGGACGATTTTTCGAAAATTGGTTGACCATTTTGGAGCATTATTTGACTACTTTTCATTTTTCGTCCAAAATCTGCTTGTAGGGGGGCATGCCCGACCTAAGCCTCGCCCCCCCGCGCCTTATGATGTTCCAGCATGCTTTCCCCTCGATCGCCAGAGAGTTTCGGGCACCGAAAGGGGTATCAGAACTGGACGGTTCTCACGTGTCGGACCCCGGGAGGCGATATTTTCGTTCGGCACTTCGCCAGCGTGTCGGGCAGGCACTGTTTCGATACTTTTCGGGGTGCTCGAAGTCATTTCTGGGATGTGGTCCTGAGTGCGGTGGGGACAACATAATCCGCGCCAGGAGTCCTGGATGCGCTGCTCAAGAACCTCGCCAGTGTTCGAAAAACATAAAACCTCCGGCGCTCCGCGCGAATTTCTTGGATCGGCGTTCGGCCCCCCCCCCCCCCTTTTCCTCAAGAAACTCGCCCCTGAGGCGCCGATCCTGGCGCTCCTGTAACTATTTTGTTACATCCAAACGCAATTGCGCTAGGTTGAGGCCTTCAATTCCGATGTTAGACACAACAGCGCTGTCCCAACCCGCAAGGGTAATTTCTAGCTGCCACCCCCCTCCTCTGGAAGGCGAGCTGCTGCCGTGCCAGGCCCCCTGGCCTTCTTCGGGGTCCATCTTGATCCGATCGATTCGAGTCGATGATCGAGCCGGTTCGATGTCGATTTCCAGGCGGTCCAATGCGGGCCGATGCTCGCATGGCGCTGTTGTGCATCCCGGCGCAGCCGATGCGGTTCGATTTCGGCTCCCGTGCCGATGCAGCTCGATCCGATGCACATTTCGGTTCGATGGGCGCATGACGGCCTGGTGGTCGTCGGAGCTCCTCCTGTCCTCATGCGCTGATCTTCCTCTGGATACTACTCTCATCTTGCCTGTCTCCCCCGACAATTGCCCGGGAGTGGCCCTGGTTGACCCAAAAGGGTCCACTAAAAAGGGGGTGGTGCAATAGATTTGTTGCAGTAGATTTGCGGGGTCACAATAGATCTGGGGTGTGCTACACACTCCCAGGCGCAAACGTATTGCTGGAGTTGCGCGTGCAAGACAAGAGTTGCAATACCATGCAATACAGTTCTTTGGCGCAGTGCATCTGCAATACGACTGCCCCAAATCTGTTGCACCACCCCCTTTCAGCCGGAGTGGCCCGCCCCCCTCCGCGTATCTTTGCACAGACGCCGGATCTCACGATCTGCCGTTTCAAGTGCTTCTGTTCTGCAGTCGAAGCCTTTTCGGCCTTTCAGAATGGAGCTGCCGCTGCAGCGTGGACATCATTTTCGGTTTGCACAAACGCCGGATCTCACGATTTGCCGTTTCGAATGCTTTTGTCTTGCAGTCGAAGCCTTTTCGGCCTCTCAGAATGGAGCTGCCGCCGCAGCGTGGGCATCCTTTTCGGACGGGTGACTTGCTCCTGTCGTTCCGGATGGCGCTCTCGCCCCAGCGCGGGCTCTTTTTCTGGAACCGAGTCCTTCCTCATCGCTGTCCCCCCCCCCCCCCTGCTCCCCTGCTCCGCCTTCTCTTGGTCCTCCTGCTCCTCCCGCTCATCTCGCTCCAGCTCCTGCTGCTGCTATTCGTTCTCGTCCTCCTCCTTCCTCATATTTTTTCTCTTCCTCCTGCTCATTCTTCAACTCTCAGGAGGAAAAGAAACACACAGACACAACTCATCCTCGATTCCCCAAAAATATGGGAAAATATGGGAAGTGGGGGGGAAGACAGAAACCCAGAAAATACGGGAAGATATGGGGCATATTTTTATTTGTGTGCATTTCTTTGTGTGTCCCAGGGCCCCTTCAAACTCATCCGCCACCTCCTCGTCCTCCAGTGTGCACAGCTCCCTTGTTTTTCTGATGGCGCAGTGCACGATCGTGCCCTTTTTTGGCGGGCTCCATGCCCGCTGTGGCCCCCGTCGGCGGATCGAGAAACACATGAGCGCCATGGGCAGGGATTGGTGGGAGGGGTAGGACGCCATGGCGCGAATGCACCCAGCTTGTTCTCTCTCTCTCTCTCTTTCTCTTTCTCTTTCTTTCTTTCTTTCTTTATCTGTTTCTTCTCTCTCTCTCTTTCCTCTTCTCTCCGCCCCCCTCCCTGCGCCAGATCCAGCATTCTTCGACACTCATTTGGGGCGCCTCCCACTCAGGATGGCCGCTGCAGTGAGCAATGTTCGTTTCTAGCGGGGGAGGCCTGGAGCCCGAGCTGCCGCCGCCCGCCGAGCCCATCCCCTCTCTTCCCCGTAGCCTGGATCCCGCCTGCTACGCTCCGAAGGAGGGTACGGAGAAAGAGGAGGAGGAGGAGGAGGACCAGGAGCACGAGGAAGAGAAGGAGGAGGAGGAGGACGAGGAGGAGGAGGAGGAGGAGGAAGATGCCGTGGATCCTCTTGACTCGTTTCCGAAAGACAGTTTGGAAACGACGTCGGAAGGAAGAGAGGCGACACCACCAACACCACCAGAGGGGGGGTCACCTCCAGCGAGGAGGTCCACGATGCCTCTCCGAGCTGGGGATAAGGGGACGTCTCGAGCGAGAGTGGGGGCCACACCACCGGGGGGGGCCCTCCCTGACTTCTCCCGCTGGTGGTCCCTGGTGGTGTTGGTGCCAGTTGTCCATGTTCTTACGACGACGAACAGCATCACAAGACACATTGATACCTTCCACGACGGAACAGGAACGATAGACGTCCCGACGTCACGACGGTTATAGAAAACGCAAGCACAGCAACGACCGATGACACAGCGGGCGCCATGGCAGCCACAAACAGACTGCCGCCAACACTGGACCCCAGGTACTTATTCGAATTTGCATACACATGGTGTACCTATGTATGTCGCCGAAGCGTTCGGCCCGACGCGGCTTTACGCTTTAGGGAGGGCGCCTCGGCCACCAGGGCAAACGCCGCCTCGGGCGTTTGGGTTTGCCGTGGGGTTTGCCGCGGCGGCGGCCTCGTCTACCGAGGGCGCGGGACGCAGGGCTTGTCGCTGGTTTGCCGTGGTGTGCGTGTCGTCGACTTGGGCGCGTCGCGGGCAAATGGCGTGGCGGCATGCATATGTATATATGCATCTTATAGATCTGCATAGATGTAGTTACGCATGTATGTATGCATGTGTGTACGGCTGCATGCGTGATTGTATGCATGGTTGCACGCACGTAAGTATCGATGCATGCCTGTATCTAAGTATGGTTAGGTGTGCATGTATTGATGCATGTGTGAATGCATGGGTCTATGTATATACGTATGGACATTGTTATGTATACATGCGCATGTATATGCACGCGACTATGTATGTGTGTATGCATTCATGTATGATGAATGTATGTGTGTATATGTTCGCATGTATGCATGAAGGTATGTATGTCTGTATGTATGCATGCATGCATGCATGTATGTGTGTATGCATGTATGCATGTATGAATGTATGTGTGCATGTATATGTGCATGCACTTGTGAATGTGTGTGCGCATGTATGTGTGCATGCATGCATGTACGTGTATGTATGCATGTGTGCATGTGCAGGTATGTACGTATGGCTTGATGTGTGCATGGAAGGTATGTATGTATGCATGTATGTATTTATTCGGTATATATATGTATGTTTATATGGATGCATATACATGTCAGTGCTGCTTGTATGTTTGTATACGTGTATGATTGTGTGTATGCCTGTCTGCCTGCCAGTCTGCTGTTATATATGTATGCATGTATGTATTGATACACGTGTGTATGCATGTATGTATACTTGTGTGTATGCATGCATGCATGTATGTATGCATGTATGCATGCATGCATGTATGGATGTATGTATATATGTATGCATGCATGCATGTGTGTATGTGTGTACGTAGCGCCCCGTCGTTGCGGATAAGAGAGAGGGAGCGGCGAGGACGTCGGCAGTCTTCGAGGTTCTGAAGAAGCCCTCCGCAGGCGCGCAACTTGTACGAATCATGCAGTGAGCCCGCCGCAGGCGTCGTAATTGTCGTAAAGCAATGTGGGTGGGTTGCATGTGGGTCGCGGGTGGGTCGCGGGTGGGTCGCGGGCCGGGTCGCAGGGTGGGTCCGGGCGGGTCGCGGGTGGGTCACGGAGTGGGTCGCGGGTGGGTCGCGGGGGGATCGCAAGGGGGTCGCGGGGTGGGTCGCGGGTGGGTAGCGGGTGGGTCGCGGGGTGGGTCGCGGGTCGCGGGCCAGGTCGCGCGGGGGACGCCGCCAAACGATGGCAAACAACAACACTAACAACAACAGCAGCAGCAACAACAACAACGACAAGAAGAATCCGCATCGCGGAACCCCACTTCAGCCACGCACCCAGGGACAGTGAATGACCGTTCGGCCCCTCACTCTGATGTATGGCTGTCTGTCTGTGTGTCTGCCTGTCTGTGTGTCTGTGTGCGTGTATGTATGTATGTATGTTTGTATGTATGCATGCATGCATGCATGTATGCATGTATGCATGTATGCATGTATGTATGTATGTATGTATGTATGTATGTATGTATGTATGTATGTATGTATGTATAGTGGTACGTCGGTATGTAGGTCGGTGTGTAGGTATGCAGTAGGTGTGTAGGTATATGGTTATGTATGTATGGAGGTATGTAGACATGTAGATATGTAGGTCCGCATGAATACAATTTGTTACATCTTACGACACGAAGCACATGTGGACATATAGACGTTTGAACTTGTTACGGGTTCAGTTAGCTGTGTTCGTGGAAGTAGCAAGAAGATCTGTTGTGTCAAAATTAAATCATGGAATTTACAACCTACCCGTGGCGTACCCCAATCCTTCTCGCCGCGAGGCGAATCTTTGTATGAACGCTCCACAACGCATCGCCAGATATGCTGCCTTCATCTCCGCCGTGCCTCCCAGGAGCCCGCGCAAGTGCCGACAGTTGCGCAG